TCGGGCTGGGAGCCACAGCCATGGACGCAGAGGTGTAGCTCGTACTGGCCCCAACAACTCACATGCTTTCACCCCTCAGCCAACAACAGGCAGTCAGGCCTGTCCTAATCAGCATTTTACACACAGGGAATGAAAATGGGGGGGGTGAGTGCCATATGCCAAGTTTAATTTAAACAAATGCATAGTGTGGAGCCAGCAGAGATCAGTCATTTGTATCAGCTGTAAAAACACAGAGAATGCACACAGCAAAACACGTTCACATTCACCTACCTGCACACGTCTTCGGACAAGCTCCCTCCTGCCAGCGTCTCACTCTGGATGGCCACCCCAAGTTTGCTTGGACGTCCTCGTCACTCTAACACCGGCACTGAGCATCCCTGCATTTTTGGTTCTTCAGGTGTTGAGTGTTTAGCCTTGTGCCTGAAATCCTCACATTGTGGACTTGCTTTTATTTATGTTTATGCTAAAAAATATTCTCAAACCTCAAACCTGGAGGCATGAACAGGTAGCATGTTTGAAGGTTCCAGAAACTCCAGCAGTAACTTTTATGTTTGTGGTATTTGTTGAAAATAACTCAGTCTCCATCAGCTATTACAGTGTCTGGGTTTTCTTTGTTCAAACAACCGGGATGACTCCAGAGGAAGGAAGCCAGAGCTGAAAGATCCCGCCACCTTCTCCGTCGTCTTCCCCACTCTGTTACAAATGTTTCCCTACCTTGACAAAGTGACCTAGAAGCAACATTTTTCCCCATTATAATTCTGAATGTCAGTCTAATAATCCAATACAATACAGCCAAGAAACCATATTTCCCAGGAACAGCTTCCTTATGACTGGTTTGATGTAACTAGGGAGAGAAGGAAGTATTTTGTGTCCCTTGTCCGTGGCGACTGTTCACATGTGAACGGTAAGGCCGTGTGCCTCTTTCCTACAGTGGCTTGTGGAAAAGCAGGAATAGGAGCCCTCTGATTTCATTATAGTTTCTTTTCCGACGTTGACCATAATCCTAAATTACATGGAAAATTTTATTTTCGACATGTTTTCCAAAACCAAATCCCTTTCAAAGGGTTATTAACCCACAATTAAAAGCCCTACATTAAATAACTCCACGATATCATTGTTGCATGCTTATAAATTGTCTATGCCTTTCCCAGCACACAAACCGATTTTCTTGTTTTGTCCTCTAAGCAAAACAAGTCAGGATATATAAACTGAGCCTTGTCGAATGACTAGTATGCAGGTGTTTTCAAAGGAAGTTCCTGGAAAACATTCATGTTTATCTTCTTTAAAAATCACTGCACCAGACGTTAACTCAGAGAATGACTACTGGCCGTCCTTTCCTATAACTAAATTCAGAGTGTGCAGGGCGAAAATGAGAAGGGAGCAGGACACCAGGC